TTCCGAGCAGTTGCAAAGTTAAGTATGGGTCCTGAATGTGGCAGCCGATGCTTGGGCTCTGACGGCAGCAGGGTTTGTTGAGTGCTTGCAATGTGCTGCACACTGCACCACGCACTGCATAGTCACAAACCCTTTGTGTGATTGCAACTAGCTCTACGAGTGGGTGCTGATAGCATTCCTATTTTACGAGGGAGACCTGAGGTTTGGGAACACATCTGATGTCATCTCTGATAGCCCCATTGTAGTCTCTGGTGCTCATAAAGCCAAAGGAAGCTAAGAGAAGGCGGCACGGAGAGATGCCCACTCGACACCATGTCCCACCCCTCGACTGTTGACCAGACTGCGTCTTGCAATCAGCTCCAAGAGGTTCGGAACAGACTCTGCTGTGCATCGCCTTTTGTCTGCAGCACCTGCTGCCTATTGACTTCTTGCCTGAAATTCTGCCTCCCCGACCTCCATCAGCATCCAGCTTATCGCGGGAAGCAGCGGCTCCTGTGCAGTGCTCAGGATGTGCAGGTGACCTCAGGGGACTGAGAAGCACACCCGACACACACAGGTGGCCAGCGATAGCCCTGACTCTGGAGCCTGGCAGGAGCCACTCTGCTCTTCAGCGTCACCTTCCTCCCCAGGGATCCAGGGCAGGGGAGACGCCTGGGCTAGGACATGCAGCATTTGTGTGGACGTGGAAGGGACAACTATTTAAACAACGCAGTCACGGATCATTCTGTAAACTCAGAAAAGGTGGCGAATGGAAAACCAAGGGGGAGATCATCTCGCTTGTGTGGTCCTTGAAAGGAGAAGCTGGGGTTGCCTCAGACACGCATGGGAGAAGCCTCATAAGGTCATGGTTCAAGTGCGGCTGCTCCTGTCCACCTGCCTGGACTGAAATCCGGGCTTTGCTCTACCGACTCTGATAGTGTGACAGATTCCTAAGCCTCAGCTTCCTTGCCTTTAAAAGGTCTACAAAAGATCAGGGCGGTGATAACTTGGGGAGTGGGATGTGTGTCAGGTGTTGGGCACGGTGCTAGCCATTCCAGGAGGTCCTGCTCTCCTCTCCATCCTCACCACCACCACCTGCATCACCTCCATGGCGCCACCCCTGGCTTCACCATACAGCTGTGCTCTGTTAAAGCCAGCCACCTGTAGTTGACCTTGGAATTCAAAAGAGTGAGCGCGGCACAACCCAGCTGGTTGGTCTGCTTCACAGAATGAACCGTTTTCATTCGCAGGATACCATTTCCAGAGGAGACTTGTGTGACCCTTGGAACAGCTGGGCTGTTAAGTTCTGGAGCAGAGCGAGCTGTGAACCTGATCTTCAGTACAGTCCCTTTGGTTGTGACTGGGCGGCTGTGCGTGGGGAGCCTGAATTTTTGCAAAAGAGAGTGCAGGCACACAGTTACACTGGAGACTGCATCTCCCTTAGAGTAAGAGTGGCTGCATATCTCTGCATGTTAGAGTTGGTCTAAAGAAGTATCTTACTTTGGAGAAAAAGCATTTTTGGTGATAGCAACACAAAATTCTTAAAATCAAGGTCATCTAGAATGTTTTGGTTGAGAACAGCAGTGCCTTTTCAGACAAGCACTTCCAAACAATGACTGTTTGCTGGGATGGTTACTGCGTCTGGGGACAAGCCATCGTAAATGTGCATGCCATTTCCATCACCACAGCTCCTCATCTCAGTGGGGGAGGAGGATACACCTGTCTTCATTCAAAACATTCGCCAAACCCTTGGTGCAAGCCATGCAGGACAGGTGCAGGGCTGTGACGGTGACGGATGCAGGAGCATGGAGATCACCCCTGCCCTCAGAAACCTGGGAGACCTGGACCACGTGCACACGTGTGCAGACTGTTGGACTTAGCAAGCTCTTCAGCAGAGACCTTGCTCTGCCCAAGGCAGTGGCTTAGCACACCTCAGTCCTGCCTCAGCTTCTTCCCAGAGACACAGATACCAGCCTGTCCTCCACCTCCCAGCTAGGACGTCCTCCCTGTCTCCTTGCCTAGGGTCCTTGAATAAGTGTCTTCCTGCTTAGCTAAACTGACAGTTTTCTCTCTGTTGTTGATACTCCATCACTGCCATGGCTTCAAGTCTGAGCCTTGGCTTCTCAGTGTTGCCTGTGCAAAAGTTCCCTCTTTTATTATGCCGCACACCCAACCAGTTAGATACTTAGTTCTTTAGTCTCTTACGAGATGTACAGAGAAGGATGGTAGGGAATGCAACAGGGTAAGCCCTCATGGGATATTAGCACTCAGACATGGTACCCAAGCATTGTAGAGCAGTCACCTCACAGCCCTCTAAGAAGAGGCTTCCGTTCTCCCATTTTGCAGGTGGGAGCGCACACACAGAGTTTGGTACAATTCCTAAAGTCACACAACTGGCAGATCCTGGCCGCCTAACTCCAGGGTACCTGTCTAGAACTCTGGGCACTGCTTCTTGTCCTGGGGGATGTCGCGCTTGCTCACCTCCATGATCTTGGAAAATGGAGCTTTTATAAACCAGAGTGGAGACGTGAGCTTGATGGTATGTCACGTCCTTTCTGCCACTGTGCCCTGGCTTGCCTCTGATGCTGCTTTGAGAACTTAAGAAATGATATGTGCTTTGAAAACCAGAGAGCAGAGTTCTGTCCACAGCAAGCACCCTAGGAAGGAGAGTAAGTCTTGAAAGCCCTTGGCCCTCCTCCTGGCCTCTGGCAGAGCTCACACTGGGCCCTGCATCTCCTTTCTGACCAGCAGGGAGGCCTCGCCTTAGCTGTTGCTGGTGGACGTTGCTCCTGCCCACAGATGCCCAAAGCAGATACCTGACTTTGAGGATGGGACAGGAATTTTCTGGGTCTTTGACCACTTTGCGTGTGAACTCTGGGTCCATTTGGCATGTTCCATATTCTGCACTTGATGGTACCTATTCTGCTTGTCTGCAGACCGCTTCAGAAAGAGGATAGATTGAAATACCCGTGGTATGCAAATCCTGCGGCTGCATGGCTGGCTGTCTCTGGTCTCTGAAGTGGGGAAAAGGTACCAGTATTGTGCAGAACTTCGCTTACGCCTGCGGAATTATGGTCTCAGGAACAGCAGTCTGCAAGAGGCTTGTGCTGTGGTTCTCTGCACCGGCAGACGCGTTTGTGTGATTCCATTATTTTTGAAGATAATGGTTTTGGAAGTGATTCCTCTCCAATTTCTTTTTCGCTAAAACTTCAAAATGAAAACCCCAGTTGGCTTATCTATAATTCATCTGTTTTTAGATGGGAAGAGAGAAAATGGATCAAAATCATTCGTTTTGGAAAGAGAGAGGGGGAAGAATGGTCTGGCTTCAGGGAACAAAGAGGACCCCCACTGGACGCCTGGTCCTCTGGCCTCTGTGTGCCGTTAGCACCAGGCATCAGGCAAATGGACCCAAGGTCTTTCCACAAGTCCCGCCTGCATAAAAATGATTTAAGTAGTGATCAGCCTGCTTCACCCGGTAAACAGAGATACATTTTTTTGAAAATGAGAATTTCAACCATGAGGAATGAAACAAAGAGAGGTTATCTGCTAAGCCCAAGTCAACCAGAAAATTCAATAAACTCCAAGCACCCAATTTCCCTTGTTCACTCCTAAATCAGAGTGTTACTGGAATCAGTTTGAATGAATGCATTGCTTTTCAACTGGCTATTTTGATGTCCTGTAAGTACAGACATCAAATATCAATTTCTGTAACAGAACCAGCCATAAAAATAAGATCGATCAATAACGCCCTTGAACCCACGGGATGAGGATGTCCAGATGAACCACGGTACGTGTTCCAGTTGGACTGAGCCTGTTTATTTCTCTCCAGCTCTTCATCCTCCATGACACTCCCTGAGCAAATTCTGGCCGCCACTGCTCCGTCTGCGCCATGAAGCCCAGCAGCTGCTCTCCCACTCCTAATACACGCCCTAGGCTTCGGGTCGTTGGCGCGTGAAGGGCCCAACACTGCTCTCACTTGTGCTGGAAATGGAGGCTACGGCTGATGTTCCATTTGCAGACCCTGATCCGTATTGTGGGAAAGGGTCATTTTCCTTGTAGGCGGAAAGAAAAGGAGATGAGGGCCGTAAATGTGTCCCAGCCCTCAGGAAGCTATGGGATGGGGGTGTGGCATTGCTGGCCAAGGGAGCAGGCGTTTTACAGTGGATCGCAAGCCAGAGACAGCTTGTGGCAAATGGGCACTGTCCTGTCCACACCGCGTGTCCCCAGCCAGGAATCATCCCTGTAGCCTGATGACAAAGCTGCTGGGTGGCCAAAGGCCACCTTGGACCTGGAGCTCGGCTTGTCTCAGGGACCCCTGCAGCTAGAGCGTGTGGAAGGGGCGGGAACTGTGAGGACTCTCGGGTGGGGGGTGGGGCGACACTGGGGGCGTGGAGCTCCTGCCTACTTTGTAGGGAGAGATGGAAGAATGCAAAGGAGGCAGACACGTGAATGGGACGTATGAAGGAGGACTGGAAAGATGAATTTAAAAGGCCGAATCTGCAGCCTTTGAGGTACAACCTGTTTCTCTCTGAATATGAGATTCAGAGCCAGAGCCTGGGTGTTTGAATCCCCGTTCTGCCGCTTGCTGTGTGACCTCTCTGTACTTTGGCTTGCATAACCGTTCCAGAAGAGCAACGATAGAACCTACTCTTGGCTGGCACCATGGCTCACTAGGCTAATCCTCCGCCTTGTGGTGCCGGCACACCAGGTTCTAGTCCCGGTCGGGGCGCCGCATTCTGTCCCGGTTGCCCCTCTTCCAGGCCAGCTCTCTGCTGTGGCCAGGGAGTACAGTGGAGGATGGCCCAAGTGCTTGGGCCCTGCACCCCACGGGAGACCAGGAGAAGCACCTGGCTTCTGGCTTTGGATCAGCGCGGCACGCCGGCCGCAGTGGCCATTGGGAGGGTGAACCAACGGCAAAGGAAGACCTTTCTCTCTGTCTCTCTCTCTCACTGTCCACTCTGCCTGTCAAAATAAAATTAAAAAAAAAATAAAAAAAAGAACCTACTCTTGTAGTGGTTCTGAGGATGCGCAAATCATGCAGTTAATAAACACATCGAGTAAGCATCGGAAAGTCCCTCGCGGTCGTATTTTATCAGTACTGGGAAATGTTCACGTCTTAAGTTCCCTCTCTTCACTGCTTTGTTTCTGCCACCACACAGAAGGAGATACGGTAGAGAAAAAACTTCTTTTAATCACGAGAGAGGCACTACCAGGGTGATAAGGATTGTGGGACCAGTTTCCTTGTTAGCTTACACGAGATCCTGAAGCAGTTGATAGGAAATACATCGAATGAAAATGCATTTTTTTTTCAGAATGGCTTTTGCACTAAAATAACCATGTTTTCTAGTTAGGTTTTCATAGTGGATTGCAGAGTTCAAATCTGCTTCCTGTGGGCTTGGTCTTGTGTTTGTGGATTTGTGTTGGCTTGTGTCGCAGCCCCTGGCGTCTCTCCTGGTGAGTTAGGCCACAGCCCACCTGAGCAGATTGGCCTGGGGCAGCAGAGCTGCAGCTGGGAGCCTCCTCACCGTGGAGCGGGCGGCTGTGAGGATGTGTGTGGTGGAAGCTTCTGGATGTTCATTCAGGAAACAACTGTAGGTGTCTGGGCCTGGGCTTTGACCTCTGGGAGCACCCAAGGCTCTTCACCCCATCCTGACTCTCCTACTCCCATGGGAGATGACATTTGGGGGCGGTCACTGGGACGCGCAGCTGCTCAGAGCAGTGGCACGAGACTTCTGTCCCCTCACAGCCTAGCATCATCATCATCGTCTTCATCCTCCCCCTCCCCCCCTCTAATTTCCCTTCAGTGCCAACGGCTCTTCCTGCACGTGGTATAGAGAACATGGAGCAGAGGTTGCTGCATGGGCCCAAGGCCCTGGAAAGGACGGCAGAGCGGGTGGTGCTGTTGCTCAGAGCAGGAGCCGTCTGCCGCCCAGTGCCGTCCTCGCCTCTGCCTTAGGCAGGACGCACGGTGCACCTGCTCAGCTGCGGTTTTTGCACATGGGTGGATGGCACCCACCCAGCGAGGGACCACCGATGATGTCCCTCTGCTGTTGGGGTCAGTGAAAGAAATACACGTGTGTTCAGGACTCTGTGCCTGATCAACACAAGGCGTTCGTCTTTCTCCGCAGCCACCCTTGACTTGATTCAGAGGTAAAGGCAGATCATCCTCTGGTGGTGGTGTTTACCCATTGCTGTATAGTCATGACCGACTGAGTGATGATCCCTGCAGAGAAAATAGGAAGTTCTTGTTCGAGTCCGTTAAGTTGCATGGCGCACAGTACTGCCGTGGCGTGCATACGGCACTAACCCTGGGTGTGTGGCGTGTCAGGCTCTGAGAACCATAGGACACCGCATTGAGTGTGCTGTGATCTGCGAGCAGAGAGCTCCCAGGTACGTGAGTGAGTTCCAGGAAGCCTCTCCAGGAAGCTCCCACACCCCAGGAAATATTTGCTGCTGCACTACAGTCACAAGCCACATTTACATTCAGATTGCTCCGAAGTTCCCTATCGCATTTCGAAGGAGGAGCTGTAGTATTTCGCTGATTCCCTTTGTAGAACACTGTGTGTGACTTGCCCCTGTAAATGCACTGTTGGAAAGGAACTTTGTTACAAAACAAATCATCCTCTTACAAACATCCTTGAAATCTGAAAAACTTACATTCTGTTAGTATTTATAGTCCTTGTCTGTATTCCCACTAAACTAGGTTCTTGCTGCTTTCTGTTTGTTTAGCTTCTTATTTGGTGAAGCGTTAAGCCTTTTTACTGTAATGTAAATTTAAAAGGTGTTATCTCAAAAGCTAAAAAAAAAAAAAAAGAAAGAAAAAGAGGGAAGGAGGGAACATCATATTCTCTGAGTTTTATCTATGAACTGTATTGATTCTGTGAAAAACAAAATAAAAATTAAAAACCAAAAATTAATAAAAAGAAAGTTGGCAAACTTTATTCCCTCAAAAACCATTGTTTAAATCAGAAAAATGCAGGGTGGAAATGAATGGGTTGCCAGCACAACAAAAGTCAGATTGGGAGTTTGAGGGAGCAGCCGTCGGTGGCAGGTGCACTATTTTAGTAAGAAGGACATTCTGCATCTCGATTGCTGTAAGGCCTCAAAGGACTCTTCAGAAAGTTCACAGAACGTGTATGTTGTAAATGACTATGCATGGATTCCGACCTTCTTTGTGTCAAAGTACACTGCTGATCCCATTTTCCCATGGACATTTTGGAATCCCTGATAAGTTCTCTCTCATCTGTAAGAAGTCCAGAAAGCGAAGTTTGTTGGAGGGAACAAGTTTGGGCGAATTCATGTTTGGCCTGCCGGAGGTCACAATGCCTTTAGGTTTCAGGTGACCCAAGTGTGTGTCCTGGTGTTTATGTAAAGAACTATGATGGAGAGAGGGAGAGAAGCAGCTTGACCAGTGGGGACATGTCCAGTCACGGGAGAGTGGGCCTGAAGCTTTGTCCCTTGAATGATGGGAAGAAGAGGCGAAACCAGCGCGAACAGGGCTCTGATACTGGAACCTGACACCGGTGAGCCGTTTATGGGGAATTGCCTTAAACCCCACCGAAGCAGTGAATTGGCCCTTTCTCTGCCCTGGTTGGGAGGCTTGTCTGTACTCCTAGGAGAGTGTTGTGTTCCTGGCAAGGGGAGGGCTAGGTGCTGCCATCACTTTGGCCGTGAAGAGAAGCTACCTGCTTGGTACCTGTGTTACAAACCCTCTGCCACTTGCCATCAAGGACCAGTTGGAGGGAATGCTACAGACTCCCTCCCCCTTGTTATCAAAGGGCCAGCTAGGTCTAAGGAAACCAATGTTGACTTAGAAACCCGTTAGGTTCCCCACCTGCCATAAAGACCTAGCCACATACCTTAGATAAGCTCATTGTGTACGTCCTGAAACTGTCTTTAAGTTATAACTTACTCGTTCCTGTTTGTAAACCTAGCTTACCTTGCAGCTGTGATTTGTTAATCCCCAGGGGCCTAAGATGGCAGCGTGCTCCTCAAAGCTGCCTCAACCTCCTCCCAATGGCCTTGCTAAATTTAGGGTGTAAAAGTAGGGGAAGACGGAGCAGCGGGGCCTGACTCTGAGACACAAGTGTAGTCAGGTCCACAGGTGTAAATCAACTGTGTGCTTTTCTGCCCGAAGGCGTTTGGTTTCTTTGGTCATTGTCCATAACACCCGGGCGTAAGGCTGAGTGTTGTCCACCTGCAGCCTTGCACAGGTGGGAATGAAGCTACCGTGTAGTTCAGAAGTTGCTCGCCAGTATAACCCTGTGGACCAGTGGATTGTGACTGTGTCTGCAGGCTTGGAAAGAAACAGCTGAGTTGCAACTCTGAGAACCCAGCCCACTGTTAGATACCAGAGTTACTCGGCGGGCCACTGCGTCATAGTGATATCTTGGCTGATGAACCGAGCGGACAGATCCAAGCCCTCGGGTTAGCGTGGGGTGCGTTGGAAGAGCAGAGCCAGTGAGCACCTATCCAGTGGTGCCGTGCACATGAGTCACCTGGGCATGCTGCTGGGGGATAGATTCCATCTCAGCCCATCTGGGCTGGAGCCTGGGCGTGAGCATTTCTAACTGGCCAGGAGTGAGAGCAGTGTGCTGCTGTTGGTCTGCCAGTCAAACGTGGCATGTTGCCAGTTCCACAACTCTCCATCCAGGTCAAGTTCTGCTCATCACTCTTGGCCTTGTTGGCACACAAAATTCAGAGGAGAATTGGTGCTGTCCACATTATCGATAATAGGAAAGTGGAGACACCCGACGCAGACCAAGGCTGTGTTCCGTGCTTTGGTTCAGATGCCAAAATGCTTGCTCAAGTGTTTCTGTTCCTTACCATAGCTGTGTAACACAGAGTGTGTGCACGTGTCTTCTCCCCAAGCGTGGGTTGGTTCCTAAAGCCTCAGGGACATGGGCAAGCTTTGGGGGTGACACAGATCTGTAGAGTGCTTTGTTTTCCTGCCTTGTGTGGCTCACTGCTTTCCCTTGGCACTGGAACTCACTGAACAGAATTCACACAAAGGAAAGGCATCCTGGGCGGAGAAAGGTTTCTCTTTGCAAGTCTGCGTCAAGAGGAGTGAAGGCTCAGGCTCCCCCGATCCCTTTCCTGGGAGGAGACACCGTGGCTGTGGGTAGATTTTCGTCGTGCTGTTCTTTTTGTCCAGTTTGGCTTCTTCACAAGATAAACACTTCTACTTCCCAGGCATCAGATGAGCAGAGAGCGGAAGGCAGACTCCCACCACGGCTAAGGAAACAGCACCTGTGGCCCTTCCTGCTGATGGCAGTACTATCAAATGCCGCTTATTTCATAGTTTTAATCATTGATGTATACTTCACATGCATTATTTAAGAACTGTATTTGGTACCATGGCCTGTGAGCTAGGCATCATCTTCCAGTCATTTTTACAGATGAGAAAATTGCAGCTGAGATCCAGGAACTTGGTCATTCAAGGCCACGCAGTCTAGGGCTCCCAACACAATGCTACACCTGCCCCCAGGTCAACAGCGTAACTCATTAATGGCATCAAGCCTTGTACTTCCTCAGTATCATTTCATGTGATAAGCTTCTTTGTTGGTTGTGGAAGTTGAGGCCAAGGCGGGTGAACTTGCCTGAGGGCTTCCCAGGGAGTTAAACGCAGAGCTGGGGGTACCTTCTGTGTGCCATTCCATCCCCTGTACATCAGCGTGAGTGGGGTGATTGGGGTTCTCTCAGGGTGTTCCTAAGTCTGAGGCCAAGGGTCCGTGGGTACTGTGTGTTCTGCTGTGGTCAGTTGTGTGCCTGGATGTCAGCAGTCACTTCCTGCAAAAGTGTTGGAAAACTCTCCCAGGAGCCTCTCGGGTCTTGATGTGAACCCTCAACTCACGCCGTTTGAGTAGTTTGAGTAGCACGCTACCTACATCTCAGAGTGACTTGTGAGTCGGCACTTTCCAGAGCTGCATCCTTAGAGGGCGTGGATCTCAGAGAAGCACCTGTGAGGGTGATGTGGCACTGCCTGCGATCTACAGGTGAGGGGGGGAGAGAATGGGAACCCCCGGCACAGGAGCCATTCCCCCACCGCCGGTGGCTGCACTGCCAACTGAGCAGGGAGTCTCCCCAGTGCCTCCCATATCCAGGCGGTCAGCTCTGGTGTAGTCTCCCCACACCGTTGTGGGAAGTTGAGTGGCTCCCCTTCCTGATCAGAGTCTGCCCTGAGCACCAGCCCCTTCCTGCAGCTCTAACCTCTTTGCTGTCTCCTGCTCACCTGAGCACTGTGGTCACTGGCCTTGTCCTTGGCCATGATGACCTTGCAGCTGCCTTGGGGTCTTTGAACTTGATCTTAGGCAGGCTCTGCCCTGACTGCCTTGACCCCCGCCCCAGTGGTTTTGCATGGTTTGTGCCTTCTCGCCTTTGTGTCACCTCCTCAGGGATGCATTGTTGAACATAGCCAGTCCCAGCCCCAGTCTGTCTCTGTAGGCTGCCTTGATGGTTTCCTGAAAACAAATCCAAGGTCTGCGTGGGTAAGGGCCTGTCCTAGACATCATGGTACCTGCCACTTGGGAAGTACTGACCGAGGACGAGTGAAGGAAACAGGACGACCCCAGGAGGAGAGTGTGTGAGAGGCAGCTGTGGGGCTCAGGGGGTGGATGGGGGGCACTCTAGTCTCAGGAAGGGACTGCACACAGAGGCTGAGGCCAACACCAGGTCAGCAGGTGAGGAGGGCAGGTGCCAGGCAGAAAGTGGTCTAGTTGAAGGACTCAGCACCAGCACCTTTCAGTGTGAATGAGTACAGGTCAGGACTTTGGTGTCGGGAGGAGATGAGACCCGGGCAGGTGCTTTCAGAATTTCTGTCCCCCACACTGAGGGGCTGAGGTCCTAGTTTATCCCTGGTGGCAGTGTCTGGCACGGTCCCAGGGCCGTGAGTGACAGAACAAGGACTCCTGACGCTCTCAGTGACTCCCAGGGTGGCTGCGCCAGGGAGTGACGGGCTGTACTTTGGGCAGAGCCTTTTGCTGCAGCAAAAATGGGCCCCGTAGGGTTCTCCTGTTCCGTGTTTTTAGTTTGGGATGAGAATGGCATCAGAGTTTTAATGTCAGCATCCTTTGCTTCAGTAGTGAGGCTGATTACAGATATTTTACTTTTGGGGGAAACCTGCTGAAACTCTTAAAAAATGGGAATGTGAGTCAAGATGAGAGCAACAGCACAATCCCTGTGCTATCGAATAAGACAAGTACACTTCATGTGCTGTGCTTCTATATTAAATATTCATGTACAAATGGGAGTAAAAGTATGAACACTTTGGTGCTCATGTTTAATAATATATGAAAAGCATATTATGAAAAAATCATGCATGGATTTCAAATTTTGCACCAAAAAGGCATTCATATGTAAAAATTCATTCCCATGAACTCTCTGCAGATCCCTCTTAAGCCTATAACATACATGTGCATGTGTGCATGTATGTATAAAACTTAGACTTATCAGCACTTAGATTCCAGAGGGTCTCCAGCCACCATGAACCTGGGGATCACCCACAGGTCACGGGGAAGGAAGGAGCTTGGGCCCTGTGCAGATGGGCGTCACAGCGATGGGGTGCGGGGAGTGAAGGGGAGCGCTGGGTGCCCAGGTGCTCCGTCCTCCTACACACATTGAGTGCCTCCACCTGGCAGCTTCCTGTGTCACAAAAGAGTCCCGTCCGCAGTCTAAGTTCCCGCAAACCGACGCGAGGCGTTTGAGACCTTGACAGTGACTGTTTTCCAGGAGACTGAGCACACTGGGCTGCTTCCCGGAAGTGGAGAGATTTCAGACTTGTTTGGAAACCTAGCAGACATGAAGCCCACTCGAGACCCCAGGACGGCAGAGGGTGGGGAGGTTGCTGTGTGTGACGCCGACGGGCAGAGCTCGCTCAGCCACCTCCGCCCTGACCCCTCCCTTTCCTGTAGACAGGTCGAGTGCTCCGTCTGTAAGCTGAGTACCCACAAGTGCATGTACAGACTCACAAGTGGAGAGTTGCACAAGGTGTACATTTGCTGTCATCAGATTGGCAGTTTACTCATTACATGTATGAATAGTTTAGTAAATCAAATTATAAATGATTTAAGGGAAGCCAACCTAGCTGCCCTCTAAGCTGTGCCTCCCTCAGTGCCCCTGGGTCCACAGCTGACTGTGATGGGGGGGTCCTGCCCCTGGGTGCACAGCTGACTGTGATGGGGGGTCCTGCCCCTGGGTGCACAGCTGACTGTGATGGGGGGCGTCCTGCCCGTGGGTCTATAGCAGACTGTGATGGGGGGGCCCTGCCCCTGGGTGCACAGCTGACTGTGATGGGGGGGCCCTGCCCCTGGGTGCACAGCTGACTGTGATGGGGGGGGGTCCTGCCCCTGGGTCCACAGCTGACTGTGATGGGGGGGCCCTGCCCCTGGGTGCACAGCTGACTGTGATGGGGGGGCCCTGCCCCTGGGTGCACAGCTGACTGTGATGGGGGGTCCTGCCCCTGGGTGCACAGCTGACTGTGATGTGGGGAGTCCTGCCCCTGGGTGCACAGCTGACTGTGATGGGGGGGGCCTGCCCCTGGGTGCACAGCTGACTGTGATTGGGGGGGAGTCCTGCCCCTGGTGCACAGCTGACTGTGATAGGGGGGGTCCTGCCCCTGGTCCACAGCTGACTGTGATGGGGGGGTCCTGCCCCTGGTGCACAGCTGACTGTGATGGGGGGGTCCTGCCCCTGGGTGCACAGCTGACTGTGATGGGGGAGTCCTGCCCCTGGGTGCACAGCTGACTGTGATGGGGGGGGGATCCTCGCCATCACTTTGCCAGCCCTGGAACTGCTCTAGAAGGCTCCGTCCCATCTGCCGCTGCCTCTCTTCCAGGCACCTGCCTTGGCTGTTAGGAAAGAAGGTCCCGGCTCGTTCTGCACACTCTCACCAACTTCCTGCCCACGCCTGTGAAGGGCACAGTATCCTTCCTAGCTCGGTTCCCGACTGTCACTGTATCCCACAGACTCCAAGCTCCCTCCCCGTCGGCTCCTGGTCTCCCTGTCCTTGCTGACCATGCAGGAGGCGTTCCTTTCCCCTGTGTCTGTCCACAACCTCCGCTTGCCAGGCAGCCAGCTGCCCCACCACCTTGCTTGCTCTTTCCCTTGCTTGCTAATGCTCTGTATGTAATACTACTTTTCACTGTGTTCTCTGTATTAACCTGAAATCAACCCAAACTCCATCTCATTATACAGAACAATATTCATAGGCTTAAAATAAAGGAAATAAATCTGTGCAAAACCAAAACCTAGATATGTGTTGTTGGATCTGAAAGTCAAAAAATAAAGAACAAAACAGAGGTTTCCAAGGAAAAGAAAATGGCATAAGAGAAACCGGCACATTGTGTGAAACCCTGTAATTATGAGAAATTAGCCAGCCTGAGTGCCCTGTGAGTTTCCCCATTTGATACGCAGCTAAAAATTCAATTTTCTGAAGCTGGAAAAGTCAATAAAAAGCTTGTTTTATAGAGCAAGGGAAAGAAGGAGAATTGAAACCATTACAGCAGTGTGTTCTGTTGTGCAGTCACAGACGTGGGACTCGTGGACCAGGAGCCCACAGTGCGGGCTGCCACTCGACGGGGAGCTGGGGGAGGAGACAGCATGATGGGAACTCGGAAAGTCTGTGGCCGATGCCAGGGATGAAATTCATTCCTGGGAATGCATTGGAGGCATCTGGCCTACGTGATTCTGGAAATTTCTGGTGACCATGAAGTCTCTGCCATCTGCTAGTGTTTGGCAAATAATATTTTCAATCTGCTGCAAAATGGATAGTTTTAATTACAAAGAATTTTTTTTAAAAAGATGCCAGATCAGTGACCGTGCCAACCTCACATGGTGCTCCTGATAATTGCAGCATCACTTAAGCCTTGTGTCCAGCATCGGTCTCCATGGAAACTGCTAGATGTTGCTGAATGGAGTAGTTAGAACCCAACTGCTACGTAACACGCAGCGGTTACGCTCAAAGGATGATCATCCTGCTGTCGAGTTCCCTTCTAGCTTCTCCTGCAATAAAGGAAGGGAAGCCCCTGGGAGCTGAATGCTGCCCAGTTCCACAGGAACTGAGTTCAGAGAAGGGTGAAGGTGCTAACACGGGGATGGGGCCTGTGTGCAGCTGGTGCACACACTAGATGCCACACCCCCTGTTAATATGCTGGATTTGAGCCCCAGCTCCTCTCCTGACACCAGCTTCCTGCAACCTGGGAGGCCACAGGTCACGGCCTAAGTAAGTAACCTGGATGAGCTCCAGATTGCTGTCCAGTTTGGCCCAGCCTTGGTTGTTGTGGGCATTTTAGAGAGTGAAATAGCAGATGGGAGATCTCTCCCTCTCTGGCTCTCGGTCCCTCTGTTTCTGCCTTTCAGGAAAATATTAAAGTAAATCAATTAAAGCATCTAAAACAGTTCTATTATTAAGCCTGTTTTTGGCAGTCTTTTCAAAGAATGCATTTTCTAAATTGACCAAAAGAAACAGGATTTTTGAAGCTAGCAAGGGACAGGAGAGAGTCTTAGAAGATGTTTTCTATCTTAGAGAATGAAGGGTAATGCTGGGGAAGGTGGGATCTAATCTGAGTGAGTTCACACTGCTCATTAGGAGAAGAGTGGCATATTTCTACAAGCCTGCGTACCCATTTGAATACACTGTTGACTTAACTTGCGCTGGTATGTCCTTGGTATACTGTTCATCAAGAATTGCACCATTCCCCAAAGAAGTCTTAGTTTGGGGAGACTCTGTGCTCTCCTGCTAGCCGGGCAGTGGCAGTGCTTTTTAGGGTGGATGCTGGTCACGCAGGAGGGGATGCAATGAGACTCGAGTTGGATGCCTTGGAGCGGGCGTTCTTAGTTAACAGGAGACGGGGTGAATCACTTGTCAGTCATTAATCTCGCGCACAGAATGGAGCACCACGAAGCGCTCTGAAGACTGAGGCTCACGGAGCCCCCCGTGTTGCAGTGCTCTGTGTGCTGTGAGACCCGGATACTCAGGGTTGGGTGCCCCTGACTCCATGGCATGGCAGGGACTCCGTGCTGATTGCTTCTCCTGGATTCTCTTCTGCGTGCTGCTTCTGTGGCTGATCTTAACCTGTGTCCTTTCCCAGTGGAAAGCTATTGTGAGCATAGCAGCTTTCACTGAGCTCAGGGAGTTCTCCTAGCAACTTGTGAAAAAGGATGGTTTTGGGAAGCCGCCCAGGTTTGCAGTTTGTATGAGAATTGTAGGCGGTAGAAAGTTCATCCGTACTCTATCACCTGCGCTCTTCACACAGGGACGGCAGGTCTTCACCAAGTCCACAGAGAATGCACGTTAGGGAAAAAACACTTAGATTTCAATTTTTTAGCTCCAAAGTAAACATTTTTCGCAGTCAAGTTTCCATGCATTTTTTTCAGTTACTGTCATATACAAACACAGAGCTAGGGGTATCCTTGTAAAGGTCTCAGGACAACTGGCTTTGTGCGTGAGAGAAATTGCCCTCGTTTTCATAGTACACACAAATGATCAGGAGTAAAATCACCTAAATTTGGACGATCTGTCATTGTTCTCATAGTATATCTAGGGGCCATGCCTTAGTGGGTAAAGCCACCGCCTGCAGTACCGGCATCCCATGTGGGTGCCAGTTTGAGTCTAGGCTGTTCCACTTCCGATCCAGCTCTCTGCTATGGCCTGGGAAAGCAATAGAAGATGGCCCAAGTCCTTGGGCCCCTGCACCCACGTGGGTGACCTGGAAGAAGCTCCTGGCTTCAGATCAGTATAGCTCTGGCAGTTGTGGCCATCTGGGAAGTGAAGACCTCTCTCTCTTTGTCTGCCTCTACCTCTCTGGAACTCTACCTTTCAAATAAATAAATAAATCTTTAAAAATAATATATGTAAACCACAGTCATGATTTAGCACACTGAGAAAAAATAGCTTGACCTGGATTAGACATTCTTTCATAATATCAGGTGACATCATAATATGACAACTTTTCAGTAAAGGGGACACTGTTGGTTTCTTTAAATGCAGCTGTTAGCCATTTCTGAAATGCTTTAAAAACACTTTTAAACTGTTTGCTGTCTACCTATACAGAGTTTCTCATGTAGTTTTTAAGTGAAGAATTTGTAGATAGTGAAGAAAGTTGAGAGGAGAAGGGTGGTTCACAGGGTCTGTGGAGGGTGATGGCAGGCATAGACGGGAACAGATCAGTTAACCCCTGCTGCATTGTAGTTGGATGGGAGACAGGAGTTCTGGCATTCTTTCGCACAGTGGGGTGACTGTAGGTAAGGGGGATGTTCTGGGTATTTTTATATAAAGCTGGAGGATTGCGAATGTTTTCACCATCAAGAAAGGATGAGTGTCTGGGAGGAGAGAAATGCTGACCTCGGCTGGAGCATTACACAGTGTGTGTGTGTCCATCGAGACATCATGTGGTGGTTCATAGATTTGTGTGATCCCTCTCGGTATCAGCTAAAAGTGGAAATGGTGAAGAGGTGTTCACAATGAAGTGTTGACCAGGAGCTGTCGTTAGCTCTCCACGCGCATAAACGGCTATGAAACAGCAAGCCCGAGTTTCTGTTCAATATTTTGAAAATACTCAGTTTGGGAGTTTGATACAACTAAAATTATATATTTAATATATTTTTGAAAACATCTGAACTCGGTTACTGTAAGTACACAAAGTTTGTTTCCAGCAAACCTCACGTGAGTGTCTGCGTAGCCTCCGGATGCTAACAACCACTGCAGGGGTCAGTGTAAGCACAGCTGACTCCTCTTAGAAAACTTCCTACAGGGCTTCTTCCCAGTAAGCCTTGGGAGACGGAAAATACTGGGCCAGGAGGAGATGGGCTCCCGGGGCTCAAGGTGTTCAGGCGTTAAGGAAGATCACATTTTGGGAGCAGTATAGCCCTCCTTAAGTTGTTAATTAAATAAAACTAAGATGCCTTCCACCCAGGAGACTCTTAGGTTAGAAGTAGCCTATCCGTCTTTGGACTGAACACCCTGGAGAGAGGCTGCTGATCAGAACAAAAATGTCTCAACGTCCGGTCTTCCCGGGGATCTCTGGAAGGGTCCTCAAGTAGGAACACTGAGTAGGGTCCTTCTCGGGACAGAGCTTGTGTAAGAAACAACTTGATGAGTCCGAACCCCAGAGTTCTGATTCCGGTCGGGGCCAAGGCTCAGGAATGTGCAGTTCTAGGCAGATGCACTGGTTGTGGGGTGGCAGTTGAAGATCTCTGTGTTAGAGCAGTGGTCTCAGCCCCGGCTGCCCTGGGGGCACCTGGGGAGGAAGCTCATCCTCAACCAGTTAGAGAATCCTGGAGGACATGCCCAAGCAGGGGCACTGTTCAAAGTGCCCAGGAATTCCAGCCAGCAGTCAGAGCCGCAGCCACAATGTCACAGCACCCCTGATTCACGGAGTGCTCATCTTGCTATGAGACGCCTTTGTTGAGTTATGTGTACCAGCTTTTCTTAAAAAAAAAAAAAAATAGTATCTTTATCTCTTGTATTTCTGTGTTTTAAAATGTAACAATGATATTTGAAAAACAAGAATGTTTTTGTACTGAAACTATTTCTAAGATAAGCTGAGCCCTTCCTCCTCCCAATTATTCAAGACCTGACTTGTGTTCGCAATTAGATGAAAATCTGTAGTCTGTAATTAAGATCCGTACGTATGACAGTGTAAATGGGGTTTGGATATTTTCATTATTTATGCTTTTATTCCTTGAGGTGTTTTAAGCCATTATACTTAGAAGAATAGCTTAAAACACCCCGAAGTAGCATTGTAACTTGCTGTATTTTAATGTTTCATGCTGAGAGACGGAACCACCTTCAGGTAACAATAGCCACTGAATTATAGCAAGATTTCACACTCACCATGTAAATTGTGCAATGACTTTGTGAGGTTAGATTGAAGCATTTATGTGTGGCAGACTCACATCTTCCATAGGGATTAGGATTTTTAGTTGGCATGCATAGTACAAGTTGGGCAGAGTCAAAATTTTCCTTCAGGACCCTTTAAATACACCATCTCCCCGAGTGTGGTCCAAAAACCAGCAGTGTGGTCCTCCCTTGGGGGGCCACCAGGGAGGCAGCCTCAGCACATTTTTCAGTTCAGTCCTGTGTTCTAACAAGACCCTTGGGTGATGGTATGGGCATTAACATTTGAGAATGGCTGCCTTACATTATTCATTGATCACAAAGAATGCAAAGAGGATCCAAGTCAGGATTTCTGGAGTCTTTAGCTACTGAAGCCTTGGCCTCTGTGATTAATGAACTTGGATTCTCTTTGCATTTTTGCAAGCCTTCTCTCTCCCCATTAGATGGAGGCCTGGCTCGAGGCTGATCACGGAAAGCAGGAAGAGAAATGTTTTTCCTTGTTTGTCTCCTCTTTTCCACTCTTTCCTTATTTAAAATTTATGTGGCTCAGTGAAGTCACATGGGTCATGTTAGTTACAAATGCATGCATTGAATTTCCCCTGTATTTTCTGAGCTGGCTCAAAAAAAAAAAAGGATGGTCCATCTAGCACGTGCACAGGGCTATACTAGAAGAGGAAAGTCCAGTGGCCAGGAGGAGTAGGCAGTGTCTGCTACCGTATCCAGAACTTAGGGGCTGAACACGTCTACTCGCAGATGGTGCGTGATGAGCAGGCCCGCAGAGCGTGGGTGATGCCGCATCCTGTTGAGCCCAGCGTCTGGCTTCCCAACACAGGCGCGTCCAAAAGCTTGAGGAAAATTGGAATTGAAAGATTTTTTTTTGATGCAAGGAACTTTTTGTGATCCATACACGTGTTTCATAATGTGGATTTCCCGTGAACTCACTGAAGACCCCTCAAAGTTCCAGTGGAGAAATCTGCCATCAGGATTCCGTCATCCAATGGTTTGGGATGAAAAGCAATTTTCCACTGGAAGCTGCATCACCAGTTTAATGACAGTCCCTCCACTTTTACTGAGGTCAGAAGAGATGCGTGAATCAATGGTAACCTGTGTGTTCTGCATGAGCTTCCAGAACCAGGCCTGCAACAGCCAAGGGGACTGGTGGGCACTGCAGAAGAGAAACACCTTCATGGAAGGGCTGGGCTGTTTGCTGGTTCGGTCGCATCATTTTCCTTAGGTGCCAGAGCCGCTCACTCTCCACCAGTTCCAGGCACGTCTCAGAACACCGCCAGCCCCACCGCTGCAGTCCCCAAATATTCTCAACGATTTCATGTTCCCGATTCCTGAGGGAAAGAGGGAACAAAGGCCTCATTTCCACCGCGCTGGTGGCTTTCTGGTTAAAGAGTTTCCTGGCTGCTTGCTCACTCTCCTCTCGAGATTGATCCTGGAGAAGAAAGTGGTTTTGGTTTTTTTTCTCCACTTCTTAAGGGAATGAAGGCAGCACCTATGAACGGAACACTTAGCGGCTGATCCTACGATGTGAATTCCTTCCTTACGTCCTCAGACTGTTTGCATTCAGGCCAGCTGGTCACTGTTCTTAAAACACCACAAGACACTGCTCAGTGTCCTCTTTCCCCAACCAGGCGTGGCAGATGTTTGGGGTTTGATGTCTTTAGATCCCTTTCATTGACGAAGAAATTGTGCTTTTTGCTGACTGTGGTCCCCATACGATGGCCACTGGATAATGTTTATCCTGCGTAATCAGATAGTGCAACTTGCCTCCAAATAAGAGCAGCAAAGCACATAGTAGAGGATATTTATGACTAAATCTATTTACCATTTATGAAGAATATAAAAGCTTAGCGATCCTTTGCAGTGGCAAAGCATAACGCTCGAGGAACCTCCAGTGGTTTAAAATTTCAGCTTCTTAGCAAAATGCCTGATCTAACGAAGTCCTCCACGGTGAGGAACATTTTTAACAAAGCCGTTGAAAACCATTTTCACTGTTACTGTTTGTTCCAACTGCAGTGAAAGCTGAGAGCTGGGTGGTGTTCCTAGGAGAGCTGCTGATGTGAGACGCTTGGGTCATGCGTTTCCAGCCTGCACCCTGCCCCCAGGCTGCTGCCGAGACCACAGTGAGGTGGTTCTTGGGGGCAGGTTTCCACCTGGAATGGAGGAATGTGCACGTCATGGCTGGGATGTGCTTCTACCAAAGGCAGACTGCTTCCCTGTCTGAGCTCGGGAAGGATTGCTAAGATGTTCCGTGGTATGTCTGATCTCCGAAAGTTCTCAGTGATTCTCTCAAATATAGTAGGGCTTCAGTAGGGCTATTAGTTAGTGACTGTTCAACATAACACATCCTGGGACCTTGGCTCGTGCCATTGTCCTTGAACTCAAGAGAACTTGTGTTGATAGAGGAGGCAGCTGAGTGGGAAGATCTTTGTGTTTGAGTAAAGTAGTGTCCGACCTCAAGGACAGGAACCCTGGACCGTGGCTGGCTGTCCAGCCGACTAGGCTCTGCTCGCTTCCTCGGGGATCAGTTAACTTTTCTTAGGCAATCCAGCTCACTCTTTGGAAGAAAACATAAAGTCGGTTAGAAGCTTGTAGCTGCACTGGGTTCAAAATGGCCATGGCAGCCTGGTTACAGAGGGCTAAGAAAATATTTCTCCCCAAGCCTTCACAGTCATGTTGTCAAGAACTTGCTGGACGCCCATAAAGGCAGTAGAAAAGGAGAAGGCTGGTTTGCAAAGCCCTGAATTAGATGATCTAGTCCATGTTCTCAACTTGGCACATGACATGTGGTTCTTAGATTGATTGTAATTATAAAACCTGATTTAAAAACATAAGCTAGATTTTGTTTCATAAAAGTAGCATGTTCACTATAGAATATCGAGTGGACGACTAGATTTTCCTATCTTGGTACAAGGAGCTGCTGTGAAAACCCTTGAGGTGTGAAATTGTGTTGATGCAGAGGTGCAGGAGAACACGTGCAGGCTTTCCATTGTCACGGAGCCTCCGGGAAAGAGTTCTGTCCACGCAGCTTCTCGCACGCTGTGGAACAGGGTTCCCCTTACGTGGTGGCGTGAGGTCCAACACCACAGGGCCTTCCAAGGCTGAGCCGCCCTTCCCCAGTTCACAAGCCTTCGTACTGAAATCAGACTTGGAGCTTTCAGAGCCGGGATTGGCTTTATCCCAGGGGCTGTGGCTGAAACAAGTCCTTCGGGGCAGGATTCTTGCTCTCTGTAGCTCGAGGAGTTGCAGAGTGTGAGCGGATCGTGTCCTGTTCAGAGGCCTCAAGAGTGCCTGTTGCAGCTCTCACAGAGGATACCCCCTCCCCGCCCTGCACCACCACTGCCCCAGCCAGCAACTCTGACCCTGATCTTGTCTCCTTCTCTGCAGTTGTTCAGCCCTACGTGGTACCTTTCTCTCTAGAGGACTCATTCCCATAGCCTTCAGAATGGAATGTGAGGTCATTTTAGGCTGCGTTTTTGATACAGAGGCTTTTCCTTTCTCCAGTCTTACCGTCACACCTAGCCTTGTGATCCTCAGCTCGAAGCAATTTTGCTCCCAGAAGACACTGGGCAATAGCTGGAGAAATTGATGATTTTCTAAATGGTTTTGATGCTTATACCTCCAGGGTAGACGTTTTGCTGGCATCTACCAGGTAGAGGCCAAGCGCGCTAACATTTTGTAGTGCACCGGTTAATCCCTGCAGCAGGGAACTGTCCAGCACCGGACCCCCTGCCACACGGAAGCCCTGCGTCCAGGTGTACTGAGAAATGGACCCGTCTCACACCACAGGTCCCTGTCACCATGGCTAGTCCATTGTTAAGGCCTCTGGGTACAGAGAGCCTGCATTTATCTCCAAAATCCAGTACTTGTTCACTGTGCAATGTTGGGGAAGTTGGCAGTTAACATGTCTGTGCTCAGCTTCCTCGTCTGTAAAATAAGCCCAACGATGTCAATTCCATGAAGTCACAAAGTTAAATATGTTAATGCAAATGAAGTGCCTGGCATGGCGGCTGCTGCATGGGCGCCACCCATGTTCAACCCTGGACAGGACTGTTGCTGCCCCGTTTCATGCACTCGATCTTGAAGTAGGATTGTCTGGCTGCATCCGCGCCCTCTCACCTGCTGCCTCCGTCACTAAGGCGTGGGTGGAACGTGTCCTTGAAATGGCTACTCTCAGTCCTCTTGGCCCATCTCTTGTAGGCGTGAACACATACTGTATGACAAAGAGACGCTTTCTATTCTGCCTCCTTGGGGCTGTGGCTCCCTGCATCTCAGCCTTTTGGAGAGTCCTCCATTTGTCTGCTGGTTGGTTTGCAGTCGTGGTCCACGTTCTTTGTTCCCTAAAATACTCTCAGACAAAAGAAAGAGCAAGGTGTTTGCTTTTCTTTCAGACTGGCTGCAAACTTTAGAGTTACCCACACAGTACTGCTTGTTTGAAAATGAGAACCCTCATTTTACATGGGACGTTTGCAGTGGCTTTGTCAAGTGTGCAGTAATGTGCAAACGCTCAGATTGTTGGTGCTGAGAGGCGAAAGATCTCAGACACACTGCTCTGGACCACAGTCGTTTCCGCCTCCTGGCCCTTGAGAGACACGTAGCATATGTCGCTGTCTAAAGTCAGTAATTCACTCCTTCGTGGCCATCACTCTTCATTCTCCATTCTGAGCAGAGCTCTCTACTCTCTGCAGATAAGGGGACAAGTGGCCACTCATTGCTGCTGATCACCGGTGGGTGCAGGAAAGGGAGATATTTTTTCCAGACAGCACTGTAAATCTACATCTTCTGTAATGAAAGCTGGTGGTTGTTGTGGTTGGACTCTCCTTGGCTCCAGATGAACTTGTCAGTTCAAAGATATTGCAGCTCCTTAATGAAGAGACGCCAGGGCATCATGAGGTCGGGAATGAGTTCTGAACCACTTCTGTCTCTAAAGCCTTGGGTGATTTTCCTCAGCTTCTAGGGCCATAGTTTGTACGTTGACAAATGAGGGTGATGTGCCTGCCTCGGTGAGATGCCCTGTAGTTGAAATGAGGTGTAATGCGTGCAAGTAAATAATGAAGCACAAGGATACAATGTTGCAGAAGGGCAGGTTGATTGTAACAGCTAATTGGTGATGCGGTTTTAAAATAATTAGATTCTGTCTTTTTTCTTTTTTTATTTCTGGGCTGTAGTGTCATTGACACTGCCTTATTGCCACGATTCATCAGTACAACCGTTATTTTTCCTTAAGAGAAATGAATAGCTTGCATGCAAGTTGACAGGATGAAGGAATCATCCGTTCTCCCTCCCTCTGCCCTTATCTCGCCATCATGTTGCCTGAGTTCTGCCTGGTGTGAGCACTCGCCATCCGGGCCCAGGTGTCCCCTAGCTGTAGCCTGCCCAGCTGGACTGGTAGAGCAGGGCTGGCCTTTGTGTCTTACTCTGGCTCATATTCCTAGCTTCCCAGGCTTCTTTTGCCAGAAGAGTTCATCTGGTGTCCAGTGATGACTGACAGCAGGGCCTCCTCTACCTGGCGCCTGTCACTTCTGATGGTTCATGACTGACGTAAAACTTGGGCTTGCCAGTAACAATGGCCAGGTCCCACTCTTTGCTAGGATTTTTGCCTCACTCTGAAATACAATCCAAATGCCCAGCAGACAATGATGCACGAGACAAACAAGAGCCATCGGCATGGCTCTTGAGGGAAGGGATTGGGCCTTTCCCCAGCAGATGGGCTGATCACAGGCAAAGCATGCCTGGGCATGCCCTGTTTCAGGTTGGGTGGAGGACTGTGTTCATATGGTTGAGGGTTGAGCTTCATTTTTCTGCTGCCGACACACATGAATATCTGTAGCATACAGGGTTCTACTGCAAGGTGGGGGACCCAATCCTTTTCCAGAATTGTGTGCAGGGTCAAAGCGATAAAGGCAGGGCCTTGTAAACAACTGGACAGAAAACTATTTCTGGCAAATGTTTTTCTCTTGTTAATTCACGACATGCAATGCATACTGTTTGGTGCACACCGCATTTTAGGAAACATGCACAAAGAAATGGGTACCCATGTTCCCAGAGAGAGCCTGTAGCTTCTTGGAGGAGGCTGAGGACAGATGGCACGTCTTCTGGGAAGGAGGTGCTTTTCCTGCTTTGACTTGGTCCAAGCTGTATTTCAGCTCTGTCAAGTGGGACTCTCTGTGATGATGGGAAGCTTCTGCCTCTTGTCTGTTGGGTGCGGTGGGTACAGCTGTGAGGTTGCTTCCAAAATTCATGGAAAGGGGAATTGAAACATAGATACTGCTGCAAAAGTAATTTTCACATCCATGCACAGTCTTTTCATAACGCATCTTCTCCATGAAGGTTTGATGTGCCCTCATACGTTTGCCCATTAAACACTTGAAGTGTGGCAGGTGCTACTGAGGAGCAAACCGTTGAGTTTCCTGGAACTGCAATTCGTTTAAACTGAGATAGCCATATGTGGCTCATGGCTGTTTGTGGACTGACAGCTGCAGCTCACTTGGTGACAGTGATAAGAGGAGGAGATCTAACAAATTATTTAGCATCAGATTATATCCCAAGATTGGTATTCAACATTTTATATGTATTAACTCAATTAATCCAAATGCCTCTCCAATGATAGGGTTACGTAATGTTATGCCTAGTTTGCAGATGAGGTATAAGAAACACTCCTACACATTAATCTAGACCACAGATCTGTTGGCTTTGGCTTCCAGGAGTCCACACTTCAGCATTACCCGTCTTCACCTGGGTGCTGTGTGGTCTCTCCACAAGATCGTGGCTAACTTGTTCAGAGCAGTGGTTGAAGAAGATTATGTCCACCATTTTCACTATTTGATTTGGGCAGAAAAGCATAGAAACCAGAATTGAAGATTCACACACAGTAATCTTTCAGGAGAGATGAGGACTGTGTCATTGCAATGTTGTTCTACTGTACTCAGTAGAATGCATGTGTCAGGGTACCTCCACTCACAGCACCTACAAAATGCACTTTGGCCCACATAGTATAGGAAAAGGAAATACTGACCTAGCTCAGTGTTGGCGTTACCCTGGAGACGTGGCCTTCAGTAAAGATGGCACTGGGTTGTCCTGCCCCAGCCAGCAAGCCCAGCAGGAGGCCTCCTCTCCAGTCTGCAACACCAGCCTGTGGAGTCTCTTGGAAAGACCTTGAGCTAGCTTCTCGCAGAGCCAGCAGACAGCTCAAGGTGACTCCAGGGGCGTGGTGCTCGTTGCCACTTGTGAGATGAACCCAAATAACTTTTCCAAAATACACAATTTTGATGTCCTGGAAAGCACTTGAAAGTGATTGCCAGCACATCAATAGCACATGAGTATTAGGCAAAACTAAAAAAAGAAAAGAAAAAGTTTTTCAAACCTGATGTACATCAAAATAATGGAGGAAGCATCCCTAACACAGGTGACCTTTTGGTGAGCAGTAGGTTGGGGGGACCAAAGCAAACAATTTTAAATTAGACTAGCACAGCTATTAAGATGTGTTACAGAAGATCAGAAGATTTTCTCCTGGTAAATTTTCTGCCATAGATAGGATTTTTAGAACTGGTCCTTTGCATTCCCGTAAATGCCTGAGTGCTAATATATAACCCTGCTTTAATAGAAACATCACTGTGATGGTGACCACGTTTGATATCTTGACTTCTAACATCAGGAAGTAAGTTCTCTGTTACGAAATTAAATGAAATGTCAGTGTGTTCGAATGAGGTCTTCCAGAGAGCTTGTTTGATAGTGCAGTGAAATGCTGGCTTTAAGGCATCATTGTTCCAAAAATGGTCAATACTTAATAGGTTGAAGACAAGATAGGAGACATATGGGGGTTTCAGTGTGGAAATCCTGCCGGTGTTTCCAGACACAGAGCAGTTGCACGTAGATGTCTTGACACTCTCAAACTTTATTGTTTATGGTACACAAGGGGAATGGGTACAGAGAGCAAATGGTAGAGAGGTCAGAATCTCCAGAGGTCCTTCCTGGAAGAAACAGAGACAGGAAAACCGTGTTAATCCAAGGTGACATAGTAACGGTATGAACTTGTGAGCGCTGCTGTGCCCAGCTCTGTTCTAGATGCTTTACCTTTCCTTGGCCCTCACCACTAGCACATGAGTTGTATTTCCCAGATCAGGAGACCGAGGCACAGAGAGATAGTCTTTTCCAAGGAGTCAGGGTTTTCTTGCTGGGCACACACGACAGACTCACATGCTGATCCCTTGTTTCACCCCCCTTTTCTATAAAGGGGAATAGGGTAGGTACCCTCAAGGATGCTGCTCTTCTTGCTCACTTGACCCGAAGAGACCAAGGAGCCAGTGCACTGTAAAGACTGGCTTTGTGCTCCGTGGCATCCACAGCTTCCGTAAATAATTCCCTTGTGCCTGGTCTCAAGACCTGTCTGTTGGCACTTCTGTTATTTTGGAGAATTGAGAGGACAGAGCTCTCACTGGACCGTGATGATGAACGTCATGCAGGCTAGACAGGGTCTCTCACTGCCTGAGTTCATTGCTGGGCTACGTAGCACAGCTTCCTTAGGACACTTGAAGAAGGTAGGAAGACACTTGCCTTCGACTGTGGGATCCGGGGGCCACGTCCAAGTGCAGATGACACGTTGCTGTCACCCCTTTTACCTAAAGAGAAACAACAGCTCGAGTCTCGGTCTGGACTTGGGCAAACCACAGGACAAAATGCACATGAAATCTGCGAGCATGGCATGGAATGAGGTCCCTAGAGCAAGCGCCCTGGATTTTTCCTGCTAATCCTCAGAGGCCAGCTTCACCAAGGTTTCAGCTCAGCCTGATGCTAATAACCCAGGTGGTCGCTTTCTTTACAAAGCTCCACTGTGGCAAAAGCAGAGAAGGAGTCGGTGACGAAGCTGGGGTGGGGGCTAGTTGGCTCTTTTCCCGTTAGTTCTGGAAATCGCGAGTTTTTAACAGTAGAGATCCTCTTCCAAGCCTGATTACTTTTGCTCTTGTCCCCATGCCAAGTTCCACCGTCTTCAGCAGAGGTGGAGGCTGCGTGTGCCGAGACCCATGACCAACCCTGAGCACACTGCGCCCATCTGAGCATTGCCTGTAGACCTCATATGTGCTCTTCAGTGTATTTCAGTGAATTCTCAAAGTTAGACCTTTCTACTTCTGAAATGCCATGCCCATTTTATAAAAATCAGAAGTAAATGGTTCTGATTGATTTGAGAGGCAGAGTCGGTGGGGTATATGTGCTCGAGAGCTCTCTGTGCCATGCACTGGGTCAAACCCAGATGCTGGCACCCGCCAGAGCCGGGCTAAGCAAACACCTGGAATGAGGAATTCAATCTGGGTCTCCCAAATGTCAGGAACCCAACTGTCTCTCAGGTGATGCATTAGCAGGAAGCCGATAACACAACTGGAGCTGGGCCCTATGCTCTGTCGCTCTGAAATGACTTGTGGATGTGTCATGCAGCTTCTTCAATGCTCGCTGCCCAATGCCTGCAGCAGGACCCTGTTTTTGGAAGCAGGGACAGCGGCACTTAATTTTTCAGATCGCCACAAGAATCCAACAGGGAGTGAAATTACGTCAAGTGGTTGTAGTGCTTGCAAGACCACAGAGAACAAATGGAGGGTCCACCTTATTCCATAGTGGCCCTGCAGTCAGATTGAGATTTTTGCTTAGAAGCCTTGGGGGGGAAGAGGGCTTCCAAACCTTCACTAAGTTCAAGTCCTTTAGAAGCGACTGCTGAGAACAGTAAATGCTGATGGGATATATGATGGTCTGTCCTGCGAGGTTTGGGAGCAGGGTCCCTGAGCACAGGACCTGAGTAACTGCTTTGGCCACTCACTGGTGTGTGCTACTAGGAGGACGCTTCACACACAGCTGCAAGGCTTTGTTTCCTTGTGTGCTGGCTGAGTGGATGAACACCCACATCCAGGGGTCCTTGAGTACTGCCCAGGCTCTGCAGCAGTGGAGACCCTAGCTTGCAACTGTTCTCATCGTCACTGATATCATTGTTGCTATTATTACTTAACTGCTACATAGTTCCCTTCTGGGCCATAAGAATCGAGGTAAATGAGCGCCATCCTCAATGGCAGTTCCTTGTTTGGTAGATTGGAGAAATACTGGGCTTGAAAGTATCAGTGAAGATTTCTCAGAGGTTTTGCGAATTGATTTTGCTGTATCCTGGCCTCGAAAGGAAACCAAATTTGTTTTTACAAGGACGAATTAAGGGCCTCTGATTCACTTAGTCAGTACTCCATTGTTCACAATGAACCCCAGAACTATGATTTGTAGTTAAACTCTCCTAAGCTTGCCAGCTAGCGTGCCTGTCGAAGTTGATTACATGGAGTGGCTCGTATATCAGGTGCTGTGAGTCTCTCTGTCCCACAGCAGCCTTGCTGAGTGACAGATAGCTTTCTCTGTCGATTTCTCCAAGCTGAAAGTCTTGTAATGACCCATCAAAAGACTGCAGTGACTCATCTCAGAACCAGGGCTTGTAACTAGAGAACAGATTCCACAACTCCACTGCCAACCGAGATGTCATCCCTTCCAGCTCTGATGGTTCATGGTAGATGAAAATGCAACCACCAAAAAAGGAGGAAGGAAAGTGAATTAAAAGAAAACGTAGAGAGCTGAGCAGGGGCTGCTGATAAGGCTTCCTTCTGTCTCCTCACGCAGGCACAGCCTTTGCAAGGGAGGGCTTTCTCCGAGCGGACTTGGAGGCTCCACAGTAACACGTCTAGGGAAGGTGGCTTCTGTGTAACAGGAGGGGAAGATGACTCCCCCCTCCCCATCACAGGGACTGACAGACAACCCCGGAGGGGCAGGGAAAGCCTTCCAGGCCACTTTGCCTTAGTTTGGGCCGAGGAACAAGACAGCAAGCAGAAGGTCATCTGCAGTGTGTGGGATTCCACTTACAGAGAGCGAGGCTGCGGCTTCGTGCCCTGTTCTCCCGCGACCTGGCCCGCTCAGTAAGAGCAGGCTTTTCTGCTGTTGCCTCCGTGCTTCTCCTGCAGGCCAGGATCCTCGGGGGTCACGCTGAAGGAGGGCAGAGGAAGAAAGGGAATTCAAAACCAATCTTCAAGTTGAAAAGGAAAAAGTAATGAGAATATTCATGTAGATGATAAAGAGAAATAATGATTACCTTTGATTCCTAGAGAAAGTTAATTTAAAATGCATCCAAGCTCCACTGTACAGCCAAAAATTAAAGATTAAAAAAAAAAATCCTGCGAAGTTGAGCTACATCTTTAGTAGTGGAAACAAGAATCAGCGTTAGCTGGATATCGAAGACATTCATTCGCAATAATTGGGGGGAGGAAAGATTTCAGTGATAAATTGACCTTGTTTTAGGATATGTACTTGCTTCTTTTCCTGTGCAGCTGATACTTGGGAACCAAAAGACAAAAATCAGTACAGAATGCGAGTCTCAAAGTAAATGCACTCATAAATCAGAAAACTGCAACTCTGATTGTTTTTGTTTTCTACTAAATCGGAATCTCTAACAGCTTAAGGCAAATGCTTAGGATTCATGTCCAATGGGAATGTTCACATGCACTTGTCCTGTGAATGAAAATAGTCTGTGGAAGTCAAGAAACAGCCTCTTGAACATGGGTATAGCACATCCAGAGAGAGACTTCTTAGAGCAGTGCAGGTGCAGCACTGACCCCATTTTTGGAGTTGTGCGTAGAAACTTACAACATCAGGCTAAAATGCTGCCCTATCTAGGTGGTCTTTGTGACTGCAAAGGCTTTATCTACAAGCATTCAATCCCCCTGCTGAGGTTGCAGACTTGGTATTTTAGTATTTCTGATAAGTAATCGTCTGTAGGTATCTACTGTGAATCTACCAGGTTCTAGGTAAGACTCAGTCTTGGATCTCTGGGGTATTGAATTCTACTCACCCCACACACATGGTCTGGGGGTTCAGCATTTGCCAGGCCTTGTGCTTGGGGTGCAAAGATAGAGAAGACCCAGCCCTAAGTTCTCAGGCTGCTTCCTGCATGTCATCCCCTGAGAGCCTCTGGCCCCAGACCCCAGACCCAGACCTCAGCCTCATGGAGCTGCATGCAAGGCTCAGAGCAGGTCCTGTTCTCCTGTACCCCGGATTCGCTGTGCGTCCTCTTCCCTGCCTCGGCGGCCTTTCCTCTTAGGGCTCCCTGGAGTCCTTCATCCTTCAGATGAGCTCAAGTGCAGCTTCAGATCACCGAGTGAGAACCTGCACCAGGAGCTCCTGCCACGCCGAGGTGTTGCCACTTCCTTCAAGCTTTCCGTTCGCTCTCAGCTCCCAGAGGCACCGTCTGCTGCTGCCCCATTCCCAGTCTGTGCAGGGCGGCCCATAGAACAGGTGCTCAGCAAACATTTCTTTCATTGGCCCAACTCAAGAATGCCCTTCTGCTTGGTCAGTCTGGACACACAGTGCAGGGTGAGCTTGAGCCGAAACCTTGATTTCATTCTTGTGACTTAGGGACATGATGTATGCCTCCCTTGTAGGCTAAGAACTGGTAGAAATGCCACCACGTGAACTTCGATCCCATTCCTTTAAGTCGAGCTCAAGTTGCAGAACAGAGATGGCAATTATTAATCGCTTTTTGAGGAGACGCTGGGATAGCAAACCCTGAAAGGAGAAATTGTGGTGTTTCTCTGAGCTCTTAGGCAGAGGGAAATATGCCCAAAAGATTTATGGTTGCATTTATTTCTAGGGTGATTGAATGTCAGAGGTCAGATAATATATGAGTATATTCTTGGCTATGCTATACTTAGAGTGTTTGAAAGTGGATTTTAAATTGCACTGGTCTCCAGTTAGGGCATGGATAGCACATTGAATGTTAAAAGGCACAAAGACTCAACCTGATAAAAAAAAAAAAAAAACCAACTTGCACAGTTCCAAAATACTGAACATTGGCACATAATCTTGTTATAAGAAATAAGAGATCATTGATTTTTATGTTACCATCTAATAATAATATGTCAATAATGTTATAATCCATGCATTTGATCTGAAGAACAAAGCCGTGGGTATGCATGGCTCACGGCTGTTTTGGTTCTGTATTTGCAAGGCTGAATTGAGTTCAGAGTCACTCTAACTAGAATGCTAATCAGTGGGGTGAACACTGGCCTTCTAACAGTCTAGTGACCTGCTGGTGATGCCAGATGAATCATAGTTCTGTTTTTTTTTTTTTACTTAATTTCATTTTTAAATGAAAGTCTTCAGATAGCACTTGGGCGAGTTATAAAATTTATTTATTTATTTTTTTGACAGGCAGAGTGGACAGTGAGAGAGAGAGAGACAGAGAGAAAGGTCTTCCTTTTGCCGTTGGTTCACCCTCCAATGGCTGCTGCGGCCAGCGCACCGCGCTGATCTGATGGCAGGAGCCAGGTGCTTCTCCTGGTCTCCCATGGGGTGCAGGGCCCAAGGACTTGGGCCATCCTCCACTGCACTCCCTGGCCACAGCAGAGAGCTAGACTGGAAGAGGGGCAACCGGGACAGAATCCAGCGCCCCAACTGGGACTAGAACCCAGTGTGCCGGCGCCGCAAGGCGGAGGATTAGCTTAGTGACCCGCGGCGCTGGCCGAGTTAAAAATTTATAAACATCCAGATGCTAGATGCAGCTGGTGTCCAGTATGCTGATGTGCCCCTAATGTCTGTGCAAGGCCAGTGTTTTCCAGTGGAAGTGTGGAGGGGTGGAAGGCATTTTCAGACCACACTAAGGTTCTTTGCTGTCTGCATTTGAACCTGTTTCCTTTATCCCCCTTACAAATACGTGTTTAATTTTCTGTACATGGTGTGTGCGTTTATTGGGACACAGTAGCCAAAAGTGAGGTTTTAATTGCAGGGTAATACAAAATTCACTCTCCAGTCTGTAACTTTCCCTTGCCTATTACGTAGCCCTAAACAAAATGAATTTTTACTCACAACATTAAGTGATTTCTCTGGCCTTCAGAGTTTGAGTCTCTTGGTTGACCCGAACAAGGTGAATTACCTGCTCTTTGAATAAAAACAACTCAGGACAACTTCCAGTCCCAAATAGTGTAAGCAGTTCTTCAAAAGGCATAGCACTAATTTGCAAAGCACATTTAAACTGGACAGAAAAGGACAGCAAATGGCTGTACTACTTGTGTTCAAAATCCCACTACAGTAGCCAAGAGTGGGAGAAACAGACAAGAGCTAAGAACAGCCTCGTGGTGTCAGCACCAGGAAGACAGTGAGTGGTCTACATGGCAAAGCCAGGTTTCCCCGATGTGATTTTGCTGCTGCCTGACCTCACTGTTTGCACTCTTGGAATCATTCCAGTCAGAGGTCATTGAAGGAAGACAATTTTAGCGAAAAGCTGATTTCTAAACACCTCTTAACAGTATTTTTCGGGTGAAAGATTGACTTAAAATATTTTCATCTCACTCCCTTTTAAACCAAAAGGCATCAGCTCAGAATGGACCTAAAGAGAATTTTTAATGGATTGAGATTAAATCTATCATTTTTACCCAGGGAAAATTCCTTCTCATTTATTCTAAGGCAGTCTCATGTAAAGGAACTATTAAAGTGATGAGCGACAGTGTTTTGACAAGCGCTCGTCCTGCAAAAACTTGAAATCTCACTGGAATACAGTTACGTATTATCTCTGGAGAAGAATGCCCTATTTAAAAACTAGGACAGATCATGTTGATAGGAAAAAACTGTGTGAACAATACATCCAAAATTAAAGAGTGAGTTACTGGCATCCATCTAAAATCAACAGGAAATGTAATTACTCTTGGAAAGCACTCTTGTCCTGCCTTAGAGTGATAAATGAATTTTTTTTTAAATGAGCAATGTATTGTTTGCATTCAAAACACCTCCCCAAAACAAAGACAGAAACAAAAGGAGCAGCAATCTGGTGGCCCCCCAGTGTTAGCCATGAAAGGGACAGTAAGAGCAGAGCAAGCTGCCCAATCCCGCGATGAGACCTCCCTGCTGACTGTCTTGGAGACAGGTCTTCCTGATTGTTGTACAAGCACTATAGGAGGTGTAGAGGAAGCCAGTAGGGATCCCTGCCTACCTTCCCCAGCCACTCCCTGTGCTTCTTGTTCTTTTTCCACCCCGTGGGATGCCCTGGCTGCAGCCAGAGAGGGTGGTTGAGGAGCAACTGCTGTTTCCCACCCCAGCCTCACACTGCTCAGGCTGAGCCAGGACAACCATCATCGTCACAGTGATGGCTGCCCTTCAGAGTGTCCCGTCCTCCCTGAGGGCCACAAGAGGTAAGCGCCTGAGGCCAGTCAGTTACTGTTTCTATGCCAGTCCAAGTGTGTGGCTGGTTCACATCGTGTGATGGCATGGTTTCCCTCTGCGCTATCAGTTGCAATACCCTTTTATGTCTTGGTGATTCCTGGGTGTGTGCAGACCCTGGTGATCTTTCAGGAACTCCTTGCCTGCTCCTCTGAGTTGAAGGAAGTTGGTTCTGTTTCTCAGAGGCAGACCATGAGCCACAGATCATCTCTGATTCATTGGCAAAGCGAGCCAGTAAACCTCTGCTATTTCTTTGCTTCGAGAAAGGAAGCAACTAACCAACCAACCAACCAAGCGTACACTTGGATTTACAAGAGAAGAGTCATACAAGAGAAGAGTCATTTGTTCTTGTTTGGATGGATACATTTCTGGGAATGTGGACATTTCTTTGAATGTGTTCAACAAACATCAGTCAGAATAAACAGTTTCACTAGGATTGTAAAACCTCGCCCTTATATATACATTGGAAGTTTTCAACATTGCCAGAGTGTGGAAACATGCACTTAAAAATAATTTAAAATCAAGCACACATCAGAATTGCTAGCTCCCATCCTGTGCCGTCTCTGCCTGGCTGTCCACGACAGACAACTATACCTACACCCACAAATATTTTCTCCGGAAAATGAGTCAGGCACAAGACCGAGGGCAGCTGTTGGCACAGAAGTATCAAACATATCTCTAAAAAAGCATTTGTTGATCTAGATAGACTGACAGGCCATCATGCACAGCTTTTACGGGAACATTTCGCATTGTCAGAGTAGACAAGAACACACACACAAATAAAAATGAGGCTGTTGTCTTACCTTGTAGAAAGCGGTCAAAAGCTACACTGTTGGTGGGATAGTGTACCAAGTGACAGACTTTTGTACACTCTTTCTTACTGGTGGTATACAGTCTACAGGAAAAGTAAATATACAGCAAGTATGAAACACATGTGCACACAGCATTCCTTCCTGTTAGTATCATTGCTTCTTGCTCATTTGGAGAGGAGGCTGCGGTAGAGACCTTAGGCATTGGACCTACTCTTTGAGCAGGTGTGAGGGCCTTCGGCAGCCCTGTGCATCACGATTCAGGTACCTCTGAACATGGGAGTGCTGGGACCCTTGAGGCCAGGCAGTTGGGTTTTACTTGCTTGAGCTGGAGCCGAGGAGGGAACCAGCTCCAGGTCCTATCTGTCTGATTCGAGAGTTAATTTCTTCTGTTTCCCTTCCTTTTATGTCAGCCTTGTCCAGTCTTGCTGGCCAGCCTGCGTGGTGGTGAGTTCAGAAAGATGAAACAAGTAGCATAATGCGGAGAATGTCGGGGACCCAAACAAATGAAGAAGCCAAACAAAACAAGAGCTGTAACAGATTCACACAGCACGGGACTAGGGTCTGGGATTTCCTAGGCATCGTTTTTGTGTAGGTTTTGGTACCCACATCCATTTTCCAGTGGTCTAAGAGTTTAATTTATTTCTTTTGTGGTGTTTGTTAAATTTTACTTTTAACCAAATACTTGCTTATCTTGACAGCTCTACTTTATGTAATAATCCCTTGCTTTGAGAACAGCCCAGTTTTTATTTACATATTTTCTTTATAGTAACTCAAAAATGGTAGTTAAACAGCATCAAAGTACCAACTATACAAACTTGAATTGAAAAATAACTTATCCTATATTTTAGATGCACACTGTAACTCTTTTAATAGGTGCTTGACCATACAATGTGTTCATTGGCTTAAACCAGTCTTTTAAGCAGTATTATGTCCAGCCTCTCTCCCAGGGTCATACATTGTCACAGCCATGGAAAGGTTGAGTCCTTAGTTGTCCACCTGCCTTCTGCCTCCAGATGCTACCCGTTGGCCACAGTGAATTAATTGCCTGTGACTGGCCAAGTATTTGGGGTGCCTTTCTGCACTGCCTGTGGAGCACTGGCTGAGAAAATGGATGGTATCTTCAAATACAGGTAGCCCGGAGCCCCCTTGCAATTATGCATCGTCATCCTTTACCAAGGAAAGCATGTGGCCAGAGGGTCACTCACAGGGTCTCATGAGCATGACCAGTCCAAATGCGGAAGGCAGCAGGTCTTACCCACTCATCCCGGCAAAGCCACGTGGCCTGTGGTTTGATGCCACCCTCCACCTTGAAGGGAATCAGAGGGACCATTGGTAATCTGTGGCCACAGCACAGACCTCACGTTCCCTGCTAATTGGGCATCTACATGTTGGCCTTGAACTTCCATCTGCAAGTCAACAGACCTGCAGGGGACGTGCCTAGACCAGGATGCAGGTGGCAGGGTCAGTTCAAGGTCCCCTTCTTCTTAGAAAGGAGCATTGAAGAGGCCCCGTGCTGACTAGCACCGCAGATACCGAAATGCAGCCTGCCTCTTCTGCACCTCTCATGACAGAGATCTTACTTCTACAAATAAGCATTCAGTATGCAACCAAACTGCATGCCGGCTTGAGCTTTTCATGCGGAATGCAGAGCTCAGCAACATTGACCCAACTCTGAATCCATCTGATGTCAGAAGTCACAGACACTGAACATGTTGAGAAGTTTTGCTTTTTGTTTATTGCATACAGGACAGAGCTTTCTCCTTCAAACGATGGCATTTTTAACTGAAGAAGCAACCTAAGAGGGAAATCGAACTCCTTGAAGAAAAACCAGGCAGCACTGGGATGGGTTTAGTGTGTGCCCACACGAAGCCAACAAGCAAATTCTGTTTCATGTAGACGCGTGGTTGCACGTGGAGTTGCATGAGCAAAAGCGCGCGTGCACCGGATGGCAGAGTGCGGTGATGGAGCAGAGTATTCGATGAAAACACGGAGGGTAGAAATACACTGAGACCAAGTGTTGAGAGAGCAGTGAGAGAGGCCGTCTGTGGTCCATTAGTTCCCTGTGTTTGTCACTAACTGGACTCCCTCTCAGATACCCAGAGTCCCTGGTCATACGCATGATCTGTGTTCTCATTCGTAACCAGATGGCTTACGTTCAGGCTGTCATTCCTTTGTCTCTGTCACTAATGTTCACATGTTAGAGATAATGGGAGCTCTATTCGGCTTTAAACCCAATTTGATGACATTTTCTAGCTCCAGGCTAGTTTTGTCCATTTTCCTTTATTGGATTTGTCAATAGTGCCTTTTTTCCATCTGCATACACATTTTCACATAGATGGAGTCATTGTAACTAAGTAACTAAGTGTAATTGATATCTAGGATATCATTTTTTTCCATCTGAATGGCTTTTTTGGGAAAATCTTCAATGATTATCTGTTGCATTTCTGTCTCAACTCCTCTGTCTTTTCCCATAAGTTAACTTTGTTCCCAATCTGCACGAGTGGTAAGGCTGTGGCATCTGTGTCCAGTGTGCACTCAGATGGAATATTCTAGAATGAAATCCTTGCCCATGAAGATGAACTAAGTGTCAGAGCTGTGCGCACACAGTGGGCACCAGCACAGGCGGCTGTGTGAATTAAAACCATACGTAGCACAGCTCTGTGGGGTCATGGGCCTCTGGCATGCACGGCCCTGGACAGCACGGGTACAGGACAGCGCAGTGGCTTCAGGAAGCTACAGGCTAAGGTTTTTTTCAGTCTTCCTCGGGACCTGCGAGAGCTGAGTCAGCAGAAACCCCAATGTTTGGAGGTACATGAATCTCCTCCTATGTTTCAGCGATTAGCTCAGCAAAGTCACTGTGGTATTTTAAGGAGTGTCTACATAAAATCAGACAATCTCAGGCAACTTTTTAAAAATGCAGACTGGTTGTAGGACAAAGGCTATATTTTATTTTTTTTCTGAAGTATTTTTCTTGGCTCTATGTAGACACCAGAATAACAGCCATAAAACCCATCAAAACCTTTTCAACGATTAAAAAAAAAAAAAACACCAAATGATTCCCAAATGGGACTCCATCCTTGCCGTGACTGAAATAGACAGCACGGTATTTGATTTTGGACTCAGTAAGAAGAGGCCTCTACCTGTGCAGCCTTCTGTGAGCTTGGCTTACTCTTGCCTTTGTGGGCAACACAACAAGCAGTATTCCACATTCCATAGCACATTGAACTCACTAACTTCCCTGTAAGCATCATGACATTCTGTACCACAAGTGGCCTCACCAAACTGGGAAGCTGGCTTGCTGCCCCTGCTCCGAGAACAGGGAGCTGAGAGGAGCTACCACAGTGCAGAGGTCAGAACTGGGAGCTGTCCAGCTTCTGCCAGGTACAGGTCACTGTGGTGACTCACCTGATCTTGCTGAGACCAGTACCTGCTTTACACACTGACTTTGAGGAATAAGCTTCCGGAGCAAGCATTGACGTGATACCTCAAAGCGGGGCAGGTGCAACTCTTAGTATTAGCATTAGTCTTTTAGCATGCAGTATCACACACCACAGGACACAAGGATTAGGCCTCGTCCTAAGAGTTAGTCACAGTACAAGTGTCTGAAAGTTAGTAATTCTCAAGTAGTATAGCATTGAATTGTCCAAATTTAAACCCCCTAATTTTGGGCTATTTTTAAAAATACATGCCGACTTCCAACCGTAATTTCTGTTTATTGATTTTGGGAAGTATCTCATTAAATTTGTGTTGTGTGCATTCATGGATGTGTTTGTGTCTATATGTATGTGTAGAGATATCATCTGAAATACCAGCGTCACAAGACCTTCTAGAATAAGCAGCCAAAGAGGTGTAAATATGGAGATCTATTTACCATCACAGGTACAGGTATAGGGAGATGCAGAGATACCTTGTTGCAAATACTTGTTTTTGGTACAAGTTTATCTGCCTGTTGGTGTACAGTGTGTGGCAACCACCAATGTGTCTACTTAAAAAAACACACTGAAATTTACTTCTATGCAAGGATTTTTCTTTCTAGAAGACTTGTTCAGTTAAAAATGATAACTGTCTGTATGTGTGTGCTCCTGGAAAGAAGTAGTGCTTGCAAAGTTGGTAACTACTGCAGTTTCTGTCCTGCTGTTAGAGATTGTTAACTTGGATGTTTCTCTACGAGGAGGTCATTTCCCTTCTAGGAGGAGGGCAAGGAAGGTAGCTGACACCTGACAGGTGTGCTCGTAGGTTTGGTAGCAATGCGCAAGAAGCCAAGACAGAGCCTTCAGTCACTGAACTCTAGGAAAGCTCTTTCCAACAAGGGGCAGTAAACCAGGACAAGAGGGACTGGAACTCTGGAAAGCAGAAGTCGGCGTGCCCCATGGCATTCCCGTCAGTGAGACCAGAACGGTCACAGTGTTACTCCAAAGAGAGCCCAGCACGCGCCACCTTCTACAGAGCTCCCCGATGCAGAATGGGATACCAAAGGCCGTTTACTTACTGTTTGGGTCTACGTTTTCACAGAGTTCTGTCTTGGCCTCACCGTTGGGTCTGTCACTGGGTTTGTGTGACAGCCTTGATGACATGGTGGCAGCTGTGACTACCGCCTTGAAGCTTCGCTTCCGTTTCTGGACGTTGAGTTCAGGGTGGAAAATGATGATGTACACTTTCGGCATGTATAGCATCCCCAGCGCCACCGATGCACTTAGGTTCATGGAGATGGTGAGCGTGGTAGTTTGTATGTAGAGCTAGGAGACACAACACACAAGGCACTATTACAAATCAAATGACTGCAGAGGGAGTCTGGACACTTAAAGTGATGTCAACAGTGACTAAGAGAGAAAATGTAGCAACCTTCCAGACTTTCTTTTTTTTTTGACAGGCCGAGTTAGAGACAGAGAAAAAGGTCTTCCTTTTTCTGTTGGTTCACCCCACCCCAAATGGCCAGGAGCCAGGTGCTTCCTCCTGGTCTCCCATGCGGGTGCAGGGCCCAAGCACTGCCTTCCCAGGCCACAGCAGAGAGCTGGACTGTGGACTGTGGACTGCAAGAGGAGCAACCGGGATAGAATCCGGCGCCCCCAGTGGGACTAGAACCCAGGGTGTTGGCACTGCAGGTGGAGGATTAGCCAAGTGAGCCGCAGCTCCGGCCATCCTTCGGGACTTTGTGATTGAAAAGAAAGACGAAACAATTCTGGGCACTTAGTGGAGAGTTTGTGCATATCTTAATTGGATGCCCTTAGGTAAATCCATTTGCATGCTTGCCCTGGAGAAGTCTCTGACTTGGAAGGTCAGGGCTGATGATTAATCAGATTTAAAGTGCTTTGCATCATAATGGCAGCTGAAGAAGAAGATCATAGAAGTTCATAATCGTGAATAAGCTGTGGATTTATTTTTAATTCTACACTGATACGTAAAGGGGTTAATGGTACATGGCTGTTTACAACACAGACGTTCTGGGACCTCATCTGAAAGGTCTTTATGCTACTGTATATGGCTTCTACTTTGTGATTGTTGAAATCCATCCTTTCATACCTACTCAGTACTGAGTTCAGTTTTGCTGAGAAGGAAGCCGTTCATACGCAGTTCTGTCTCTCACAGAACACACCCAATAGCAGGAGCTAAGGATGTCGCCATCTCCCACTTCTGCACATTGACACGTGGCTAGCAGGAGCCACAGCCTTGCTTTATGGCGTGACTGGGAGTCTGGAGGGAACCTTAAGAGGTGTCCTCAGAAAGTCGGCGCATCAGCTGCCGGCTGTGGTCCAGGGTGTTAGCTCACTGCCTCGGCTGTACATCTGCACAGGTACTGCATGAGGGGTGTGGCTGGCTTGTTTCTGCTTTCTTGCCTAGAGCCGCCTCGAAGAGGAAAGCCACAGGCGAACTGCGTGGTGCATTTGGGTTTCTCATGTGCTCTCACGGTGATCTCTGTCACGTGGTTCTCCATTTCTCCGTGCAGGTGCTAAGCTGCAGGAAGGCAGGGGCTGCCTCTGGGGACATGGCTGTGTGTGCTGAGCAGGCCATTTGTAGACACCTGATCCATAGAGGACAGATGCACCCAGCTGCTGGCACAATGGACCCCTCTTTTCTATCTAGGACTCAGGGGTAGATAGCCTTTCTCTACGTAAACAATGTCTGTGCGACCCGCTGGCTCCTTGCACGCTTCTGATCTTTCTCCTTTTCATGGAGGCCCCGTGAGATCAAAAGCAAGTGTTCCATCGTGTCTGGCAGGAATACAGTTTGCTGTCAAGCCCCAATTTGAATGGTGAGGGGCTGCCAGCTGCTGACCGGGTGACCCTAGTGACCATCGAGCAGAAAGGCAGCACTGTACTGACTTAATTGTCACTGTGTTGTGAACGAGGCCACGTCTGTAAAAGTCCTCTCCAGCTACCACAGCGCCTTCAGACTTTCACTGTGACGTCGCCTGCTCGCCCCTGCTGGTCAGGAGAGGCTTACGGGGCTCACGGAGCTCTGAGCACCTCCAGTACTCCCCTTCCTTCCTTCCTGGTCCCGGCTGTTAGCTCCCTCGCTAGGGCTTTACAAACCATGGTTTCCACGGCATTACATGTTAGGTTTCTGTTTTTCTGCTCATGAGCATATTTTTCAGTTGCAACGATCACTCATGGAGTTTTTATTTTTCTTATGTATATGTAGCTCTACATTGCCTATATATGGTTACATATATATATGTGTGTGTGTATCTGTGTAAAAGAGTCTGCAAAAAGTTCATGGGAAGTGTGTAGTGTGCGAAAAGCATGGAGTTCAACTTCCTGTGCCACAGTGAACTTAGCTTTCCATTCCATGTTTCTATAGTCTTTTTGAAACACCCTTGTATGTGTAGATGTGTATACTTTTCCGTAACAAGTACTATTGAGTTATTGAACGCTCCAAAACTACATTGTTTATTTTATGACAAATTGAACAACCATTATTTGCAAACTAGAGGCCATCAAGACTTTGATATGTTTTATTGATTTTTTTTTCAATCTCTGAGGATGCTTGAGAAATGTGTAAAGAGTGAGACCAATGTCCCTGAGCCAGACCCAGTTCCCATCTGCTCCCTACCTCTCTCCCTACCGTGAGGGTCTTTTTTTTTTTTTTTCTAGCACACTGATTAAGGACGACGAATCTAGAGCTAGTCAGAGTTCAGTTCTCATTTGCTTGTTTTGTTTTTTACTTTTGAGGTTTTCCGTGAGTTTATTGCAAAAATAGTGCAAACTTAATAAGTTCTAAAAACAAACTCCAAAGGACCCAGCTGCACTTAAACACAGCAGCAAGCGCTCTGGGTCACAATACTGATGAGCCTTGTTCCCCGGCTGTTCATGCCCATCAAGACCTCTCCCCATTGGAGGCTGGCCCTGGGGACACCAGCTTGGTCCAGCCACCACACTCAGCAGCACTTTTGGGGCCTTGGTGTTCACTCCGTGGTGCTGTGGTGAGGTCTGTGTTGAACACGGTTCAATGCTCTGAGCTGTGACTCTGAGCTTCGAAGAAAGTTCCCGCACCTCTGGGTGACAGGGAGATGTGGATTCAGTAAGCAGCATGAGCAGAAAGGACTGGGAACACTACTGTCACTTTATAAACACAGGAAACATCCGTTACCCTTGGGGTGCATTTGGTAAAGTATTATTCTAACTCGGGCAACTGTGGAACCAGATGGGACAATAAGCTTAAAAAACGATACGATATTGATAAGAATAAGTTGAATATTTCTTTCGACAGTGTATTGGAGTCCATAAAGCTCATATATTTAAACAAAATAATAAAAACAGAACAAAACGCTATATGTAAAAGCTAAAGAAACAAAATGCAGTAGATTGAGGTTCTTTTTCTTGAGGTACCTGTAAATTTAATCACCACCCCTAACAAGTACTCTTGTTGGATGAGAAACAAAACGCTTGCTGGTGAGCTACCTGTAGGGCATTTATTATTACTGAGAAACTGCAACCTTGCTGATCTTGGAAGGCACCTTACTCTACAAAATAGACCTTAAGAATCAGCCTGATGGAAGTTAGGAAATTAAAACATTTAACTAGAATCTTTTTTTTTTTTTTTTTGAGATCCTACAGCAAAAAGCTTTCTGAACCAACTTTAAATATTTTGCCATTAGGAATGTTGCTTCTCTTGAAAAATTCAGAAATTGCTCTTTTTTTTTTTTTTTAGGCTGGAATAACATAACATTCTTAACCATTGGTTTCACAAAGTTATAAAAGCAAGTTTTGCAAAACAATATTTGCAGCAATACTGATATACATAGACATTTCTTTTTTTTTCTTTTGTTCTTTTTGTTTCTTTTCAAATTTTAGTTCCCACATGTAAGGGAGAACATGGGATATTTGTCTTTTTGGGTCTGAATTTTTTCATTCAATGTGATATCCTCCAGCTGCATCCATTTTGGTGCAAGGGGCAGAATTTCATTTTTTATAGCCAAAAAATATTCCAGTGTGTATATCTGGCACATTTTCTTTATCCATTCATCTGATGATGGACACCTGGATACATTTCAGATTTTAGCTGTTGTGAACAGTGCTGCTATGAGTAGGCTGGAGCAGGTATCTCTTGCAGACATTGTATGAAGTCTTTTGGGTATATTCCCAGGAGTGGGATTGTTGGATCATATGGCAAGTCTCTGTCTAGTTTTTTACAAAGTCTCCACACTGTTTTCCACGGTGGCTGCGCTACTTTACATTCCCACCAACAGTGTGTAAATGTTCCCTTTCTCCACATTCTCATCAGCATTTGCTACTCCCTGTGTTTTGGATTTCAGGCATCCAACAAGGGTGAGATGATATCCCATTGTGGTTTCGATCAACATTTCCCTGATGGCTAGTGGTGTTGGGTGTTTTCTCATATATTTATTGGCCAGTTGTATTTGCTCTTTTGAGAGCTATTAAAGTCTTTACAGATCTAGAAAAAGAAGTTCTAACATTTATACACAATCACAAAAGATCCAGAATAGCCAAAGTGATCCAAAACAAGACAAAAATCAAGCTGTAGGCATCCTAATACTTGACTTCAAAGTGTATGACAAAGCTGCAGTGACTAAAACAGCTTGGTACCAGCATAAAAATGGATGCATAGGTCAGTGGAACAGAATAGAAAGCCCAGAAATTAATCCACATACATAAAGCCAACTAATTTTTGACAGACGTGCTCAGACCCTACAGTCAAGTAAGGATAATCTCTTAAACACACGGTGCTGGCAAAACTGGATTTATCTATGTAGAAGAATGAAATTAGATCCATACCTCTCTCCATATACAAATATCATCTCAAAATGGATCAAAGACCTAAATGTAAGACCTGAGACTATGTTGTTGCTGGAAGAGAACATTGGGGAAACAGTCCAAGACATTGGTGTAGGGATTAATTCTTGGACAAGAACCCCAGAACAAGCAACACAAGCAAAACGAAGCGAATGGGACTCTTATCAAATTCAGAAGCTTTTGCCCAGCAAAGGAAGCGATCGATTGAGTGAAGAGACCTCCAACAGAATGCGAAAAATATTTGCAAACCACCTATCTGTCTGACCAAGGATTAATATCCCAAATAAACTGGCAATTAAGGAAACTCAACATTGACAACAAGAAAAAAAAAAAAAAACCAACCAGTGCAGTTGAGAAATGGGCAAAGAGCTTCAACAGATGGTTCTCATTCCCTGGTTTTGTGACCCCAAGGAATTTGCTTTGCCTCAGCTCATGCCTCTCTCGAGTGGGAATACATGGGATCTGCCTCACGGTCTCGTCCCGAT